AAATAATTTGTAGGCTTCTTATATATATGTAAGATTAGACTGCAATCGTACGTTCGCATAACTTGATCACTATTTCTTTATAAACAGTAAAACGTAGAAGAACAAAAGAAGAGGTTAAATTCTTTCTCTTCTATTTCAATATATACCATACACTTTATTTGAATATAAAAAGAAAAGAAAAAGAAAGCCTAAAGTTGTAATAGTACAAATGAAAAGAAAGGATATGGGTAGTTCTATGATGTATGTTGAAATTCATTCTTAAATCAATTTTTTTTTTTGTATAAGAATTTCTATGAAGACTTATTCGATACCAAGACATCAAATATCGATATCTACTCCTCCTGTTAATAATCTTATCAATGGTTCGACATCACGTAGAAAACAATTTGAATTTATTGAAGATTATTCACAAGTGCGTGTGTGTACTATATTCAAGGTTTTTCATCAATTGAAATTGAGGAGCAACAGTCGTTTCTCATTACAATTGTTATCTTGACGTTTTCTTTTTTTTCTCTTAGCTCAAAACAGCATTCCTTTCTTCCTATTGTCTTGTACTCATCATAGAAGAGAAAAGAAAGTATATAAGCATCAGCTTGATGAATTGTGTAAGACGAGTATGTGAACAACATAAGAAACGAAAGTGTATATGTATATGTAAAATGGGTTGTGGAAGTACGAAAGCAGCAACTGATGATGAGAAGAATGTGAGTCTGAAAGATAATAGACTCTCTGATTTAAATTCACTCATATGATTTCATTTTTTTCTTTGATTAATTAATGAATTTTAAATTTAATATATTTAGGCCGTTGAAAATTGGCGACAAAAACGTGAACAAAAACGTTCAAAAAATGTGAATACAGATAATGAAGAAATATCAATATCACCATTCAAAATTGAACCTATCAGACGGTAATATATATATATTTTATTATTTGTTTTTTCTCTATTAAAATAATGAATTTTTTTGTAGACCTGAAGAAATCAAAAAAACCGATAAATGAGCCTATTAGAAAGCCTATACATAGTGTCCCTTCACCGCCAATTGAAAAAATCAAATCAAAAAGTCCTTCACCTATGCGATTCAAAGTAACAAAAATAATTAATAACAAAATATGTTCATAGACATATATATGTATGTATAATAGGGTCCCGCTAAAATTCATGAAATATATATTGAAAAACCTATTGAAATACGTGGATTTGGTTTTAAACTTGATGGTGGTCGATCACAAAATCGACCGATAATTATTTCAGCAATTGAAGAAGGTTGAAATATTCAATAAAAATAAATCTTTCTATTCTAATTAATATTTTTTGTAGATAGTCCTGCTGATAAAGCTGGTTTATGTATTGATGATGAAGTTATATCAATGAATAATGAAAATATTGAAAATCTTACATTCGATCAAGTACGAAAAATTCTTAAAGAACGTAATTTACGTGGTAGTATTAAAATGATTGTTAAAACTTATGAAGGTAAATTAAATTAGTCATATACATATTGAAAATATCATTGATATGATGATGAGTACTCAAATGATAAAGATAATCTAATAGATGAATGTACAAGGTTAATTAATTTTGATTTATGAGACAGATAATCAATATTAAAGCATTAAGTATTAAAAATATACTATCAGATAACCTTGTTTGATATGATGAATCTCTAGGTCATATCTAATAATATCAATTTCATTTAAATTATTGTGACGAAAATATTTCTTTCCTTTTACTTATCAGATACTATTGATGATAATTCTCAAACAGTTACAAATGGATTTCCGACTGATCATAGTCGAACTCCATCACCACCTAAACATATATCAACTACAACAATATCACCAAATATTCCAGTACCTAAAACAAATTCTACACCGAATAATTTATCACCTGTTTATACATTTTTACCTTATACTCCATCTGATTCAATAAAAGTTAATACTGTACAACAACCAATTCCAACATCACCAATAAATATACTTGCACCAAAACCATATCGTTCAACTGCGTCAATTAATCTCGATCCACAAAATAATCATGATTCGGTAGGAATTCTTTTTTCTTTTTTAAGATTTCATTCTAACTATTCAATAAATCCAGGATTTAACATTTTCTCGAAAAGAATTACTTACTTTAATGGTAATCATCTAGTCTTTATCTTATACATTCACGAAGTGCATGTCTTCAAAAATATTATCTCTTACTGCTTTTATTCATTTTTTTTGTTCTCATAAATTCTATCGAGCATGATATGTATATAGCTCTTATATTTTTCTGTTGTTCAGAATATGAAATATACATCGCCGATTGAAGCATTTCGAAGAATGCTTAATTCATCGAATATAAATAAACATACAGTGAATGAGGTAGTTAAAATACATGTGATTTATAATTGTATAACTACAGTATATAAACTAATCATTACTCTTGGTGTTTGGTGAACAACATTTTTTTCTTTTTCATTAATTTTGTTTGTTTAACTTAATATTCTTATTAATTTTTTTTGAAAGAACGGGTGAGCAATTCAATCTCAATGATTACTTTTAGTGCATGCTTATAATATTGATTAGATAGATAGATTTATAAATGATGATTTAATTTTTTTTTTTGATTTTTTTTTTCTTCTGTCTAGAGTATTTATGATAAAGAACTTCAAGATCTCGAGGCGGAATTTGAAAAACAATTGAGAGGAATTGATGAGACACAAAAACGAGAGGTATCATTATATCACTTTTCAATTAGTAAAGATAGCAGCAATACTGTTGTTTTTTGCAATAATATACTAATGAATATCCGCAATACACACACATGCATGATTCTAACTTCTTCTTAGTTCTTCTTCTACTTTCTCATATTACATATTCTATTTCTTTATATAGACACCAGTGCCGAATGAAAAACAACAAATAAATTTATCTAAACAACCACCACCTCGAGTTATAACCAATACACGTAGGAATTTTCATTCTATTTTTTGCTTTTTAACATCAAATTGCTTTAGCTCTAACAATTGTTGAACAATTTCCACCGCCACCGCCGCCGCCAACATTATCATCCGTTCAATCTGTTTTATATGGAAATTCAACTGTTGATAATAATATAAAACAACAACGTGATGAATCTCCTATTGCTCAAGTACGTTCCTATGTTGAAAAACAAATGGATCAACTTCAACAAGATCTTGAATTTGGCTTTTCACGTGCGCCTAAAATTCATTCACCATCATCACCAACATTACCTCGTACTCCAACTCTTGCACGAGTATTTAATTATTCAATTATAACTCTGAATCATTTGACTTTTCTTTGTCTAAATATACTAGGATCAACAGCGACCGGTGAATATTCCTGTCGATTATACTAATCCTTCAATATCACTATCTCCACCACCGCCACTACAACAACAACAACAAAACCAGCAACCGGAATTTTTACGTTCATCATTGAAAAAATCACTTTCTACACAAAATGAATTCGAACAAATTCCAACAAATCGTACTTATGGTTTAAAAATAAATCCTAATGAACAAGTTATTCATTATCTTGATCCATATCCTCAACAAGTATCATCGGTAAATTTTACAAAACGTTCTATACCTGATTTACCATCGATGACAACAATTCATCGACCCAGTACAGCACATTCATTAGAACGTACAGTTAATGAATTAAGAATTGAATTACCAGGATCATATTCATCACAACCACAAGTAATAAATCAACAACAAAAAAAAAGTGACAATTCAATTAAATGAACAAATACCACAACAAAGAGTTACTAGGTAAAAGTTTTTCTTTGTCAAAGTATGGTTTCATAATACCTGCTTAAAATTGATTTTTGAGTGTTAAATATAAGAAGCACTTATAGAGATTTGAATATAGTTTTAATGTTTCATGTAGCATTGCATTGCTGTCATGATCAATAAGGTTTCAACAGTTGTTGGTGTCAACTATCGATATATCAGCCTATAAAAAAATTCATTTGTTGAAAGTAAATTGATTGTATTATTTTAGTAAACAATTTCATACCACACTTAATCAAGCACCTCGACAACCTCATGTTGATGATAATGCATGGATTCGTAATAATCAGAGAAAAACACCAAATGGACATAGTAATGGTCGTCGTTCAGCACCACTTGCTCCACATCAACAAGAATTACAGATAAATAGACAACCAATGTCTAATTATCATGATCATCATTCAAGATATGAACAACAAAGAAATTTTGAATCATCACCAAATAAACCAAATCGAACGTTTGTTTATTTCAATAAAAAGAAAAAAAAAGATTTATTTTTTATATATAGGAGATCAGCTGGTCGTACACTGAATAATGAACGAGTGTTATCTGTTAGCGGAAAATTACATTGTTCAAGATGTAATGAAGAATTAGGTAAAGATTTTTAATTTTATATTCAATTTTATTTCTTTTATAATATTTTGTAATAGGACATGGTTCAGCTATGGTTATTGAATCACTTAAATTATATTATCATATAGAATGTTTTCGTTGTTTTGTTTGTAATGTTCCACTAACATCATCTCCTGAAGGTATTGATGTTCGTATACGCAACAATCGACTTCATTGTCAAAATTGTTTTTCTGATGAAAATGGTAAGTAAAATTTTTTATAATTAAATTAATAAATGAGAAACTCTTCCGTCACCAACTATTTTCATAGGAGCTTGGAGATCGGACGTAAGAAGAAGAGTATGCTTATCTTCTTCCTTCCTTTTTATATTGCTGCTAAAGTCATTTAATGCTTTAATATATCTATATATAACACTTTATACACATATTCACATGAGATATATCACAATGATATAGTGTACTGTGAATTAGTCTATACGTTTGAAATTCAAAATCAAAAAATCATTCGAGTATAGTTATCAGTTGTGTAGAGCGCGAAAATCTTTGACCATGTCAAGTAATTTAAGACTGACTATAATATACAAAAATACTTATCTATAAACAATATTTTATTTAAAAATTATCGAAATAATTTTTAGAAGACTAGTCTCGGAAAAAACAGCTAGGATAGTAAGATTTTGAATCAATAGATTATAGGTATTGACCCTAATACGATTTAATAGTTGATTAATCTTTGAACGCGTAATTAAACTTTATTCAAAATCATCACTCATGTAATTGACGTTTTTATTAAAAGTTAAATCTTGATTTATATGAATTAAGCTAATCTAGTTGACGTTTATTAAAATATTTTATTGAGTCATTTTCAAGATCTTATTATATAACAGTACACATATCAATTGTAATTTACTCTAACACATTGTTCGTTATTCACAATCAAATATACATGTCAGCGTCCAGTCTCGGATTGGCCTAGACAAATCTCGAATCCGAGAACAGACGCGTCCAATGTCGGATTGAGGAGTCTTACAATCAGCGATGAAAAAGTCAAGCATTTATAAGTAGTTTCCCACAAAATCTAGTCTTGTGTATAAAACTTAATTGATCCGATGATACCTTTTGTCTCTATCTGATATTCGGCGTAATCTTAGTCTGGATGCTGACATATATATTTTCGAATTTTATTATCATTTGAAGAAAAACTTGCCAATATATAATTATAATTTATGCTAAAATATTTTGCTTGTTTCAAAAAGCTTTTCTACTGGTGTTTTATTTATTTCTTATTTATATAATTTTGATATGATACGCAATTATTTTTATATAACTAAGGAATATTCAATGAAAATAATCTGTTTTGTTTTATTTATTTACACATATTTTAACTAATAATACGATTGAATTTATTCATTTTTTTTCTAAATTTTATTATTTTTATTTATTTTAGGTGTGAAATTAAGTGCTGTGTAATAATATCTACCTTATGATTAATCTTATGCAATCAAAAGAATATTCTCTGTTATTCCGCATGCAAATTTATATCGATAAATAAACTAATATATCACATTTATATATATATATATGGTTTTATATTCAAATAAGAAGAATAGATGAAAACTTTCTTCTTGATATATATTTAGAAAAAGCGTTTATTTGTATATAAATAAAAGAGTGCCGTTTTCGTTTTGTTCTTCTTCTTCTTCTTTCTTGTACAGTTCTTGATCTATATATACATATATATATAAATGCAGAAGCGAACAGTTTGTTTCTTGCTTTGTTATCACTGTTGCTGTTCGTCTAGATTGATTATTGTTTATTTCATTTTTCTTCTATTTTAAGTTTTATAACTGCTAAAAAGATAATGAAAGGAAAAAAAACATAACAACAAGCCGTTCTCTATTGTCTATGTACTAGATTTTATTGTTTTTTATATATATTCTGAAGACAAATACATAAAATAGAAATAAGTCATTTGAAAAAACAAAAATAAAAACAAGAAAAATTTTTGTAGAAAAAATAAAATGCTTTATCAAGAAGTTTATCGTCTTTGGCAAATAAATCAAAAAACAAATCGATCAATACGAAGTCTTGTTGCACAAAGTACATATAAGGTGATTTGGTTTTTTTCTTATTGTTTAGAATATGTTTTTGTTTTCGATTGTATATAGAATAAACCACAGTTATTGGCATTAATTTCAAAAGTTATTCAACATCGTGCGTTATTACAAACAATTATTGATCGATCTCAATTATTAGAAAGAGAAAACTTTCTATCAAATGAATTAGCATTAATTCTTGTCTATGATCAAGTTTTTGGAACACATGTTAGAGGCAAATTTAAGGTTGGTATATCAATAGATTACTTTTTATGAGTTGATATTTAACTTTTTTTAATTTTGATAAATTCCGAATAACTCGCGAATGCAGAGCGATAACGAAGTGTAGCGTTCACTACGATATAGAAGAGAGTTTCACGCATATATTTATGCAAGGTTAAAAACCCTACTGAGGTTATTGAATCAGTTTCCGGCTCCCGTGTGCACACCTCCGAGAAAGCGGCTAATATATTTCCGTAGGGGGGTACGGTGAAAATGAGTTGAAATATTTTTTTAAGCGTCGAGAATACTCAATGCTCATATGAAATATCAAGTTTTAAAGAGATTTCGTCTATAGGTTGAATCATGGGCGTCAAAGGGTTGACAGTATCTTATCCAGGTTTCTATTTTCACGTATGCAAATAGAAATGTGGGCTGGGCGAAATAATAATTCCAGATGGGCGCCGCCTACCCGCTAGATAAAACAATGATATTTCAGATGGGGCAAAGACATTTCGCATTAGGTATTCTGAACTCCCGGACATATGACCGGGTGTTCTAAGATAATGATTCCCATAGACAACTCTCACTACGAACACCCTGTTTTTTATTTTTGATTGATTCTGTCATTCCGAACTCCCGTACGTCTAATTTCGAATACCCTGTCCTTTTTTCCTTATGTCGGGAGATCGTAACGAACATCTGCTACCGGAAATATCTCATTCCTCACCACCCCAATTTAATGATCAATCTATTCTTTTATTTATAATGAGAAAAAATATTTTTTTCGTTCTCTAGGGTATGTTAAAACGTAATCAATCATCTATTGATCAATGTATCGAAACTCTTTTGAATGAACACAAACTTTCTTCAATATCTGAATTACTTGATACATCACCAACAAATAAAAATCCTTCAATTGAAATTCCTCGTTATGTTCGAATAAATCTATTAAAAACAAAAGCCAAACAACTTCGATTAAATCTCAAAGAATTATCATTTAAAAAGATAAAAAATGTGTGAGTATTAATCTTTTTTATCATTCAACATCAAAACTATTCCTAGTTAATGATTCATATCTGATTAATACCGACAGAAGATCATATATATATATGAATTCATTTTCTTTGAGAAGAAAAAAAGTCACTAGAGACATTAGTGTTAATCGATGCTTCTAATTTATTCATGTCCAAACGACGTTTTGCACGAGTGTTAATCTAAGTAGTAAATCACAATATAGACACACGAATCATATTACATTCTAAACATCGCCTATCATTAACAGTTATAGTAGTTATTCATTGTCACCCAATTGTTAATGACTTGTCATTATAAGCTAAATAAAGTTAATTCATCATTCTTTATACATACATATAACAGGAAGGTGTCAAAACGATACTTCTAATTTTCTTCTGATTAGTATCATTTTGTTGTTTTCTAAATGATTGCTGAATAAAATATAAAAATGAAAAAAAAAGAAGAATCTTTATACTTTCGTTTTCTTTTTTTTTGTTGTGTCAAATGATTTATGTGATATCGTTTGTTCAAAGGCAAATGTGTGACGAGAGATAATTGCTTATGGGAATTATGCGATACACTAGACAATCATCCTTTTTTCTTTCCCATTAAACTAGTTGATCTCTCAAATCATAATAAGTCAATTGCACATGTTCATAATTTAACGGAAAGCAACAAAAGAGGATCATATTACATAATAAATTCGATCTTTCATTTTATGTTAAGTGTTAACCGCGATTGATCACAGCAAGAAAGAGGAAATGAGATTGTTTCATTTTGTTTTTCTAC